CCTCCCCCAAGCTATCTGAATAAAGACAAAAAGTGAGAGCATAGCATTAGCTTTGTAGTGGAACCCATCTTGGTTCTCGTTTGGCTCCTGCTGGGTTGCTGTGGGCAAGTTTCTTAAAGCCCCAAAGCCTCAGCTTCCTCACCTGAATAGCGCAGGTAGCATTGTGCACATCACACGTTTGTGGTGGAGACTGGGTCAAACAATGCCTGGACAGCTTCTGGAACATGGTAAATGTTCAATAAACAGGAGGATTATCACTGTTCATTCTCATTACAAGTGTCCACCACTCTAGGTTTAGTATGTTATGATCACATTGGATACCACATATTCATTTTTGGCAGGAATACTATGGCATGGATTGAGCAGGTTTGTAGTATCTACATCTTACAGATGAGAAAAACTAAGTCCAGGGGTTAGTGCCAACGTCACCCACTGGTGAGCAATCAACCTCGAATTACAACCACAGTGCTCCTCTACGCCAGGATCAGAAACACTGGGATGGTGTTAAATCCCACACTGCTGTTAGGGTTTCCAATGAAATAAGTCTGGGGTGGGGCCCATGAATGTGAATTTATCAGAGCTCAGGTTTGCTGCTGCTGCTGCTGGTGGTGGTGGTCTTAAGACCCACTTTGCAAACCACTGAGCTAGACTAGAGCAATGGTTCACAAACATACCTGCTCATTAGAATCATCTGGAGGCTTAAAATCTATGACCCCTTAACTGCCTCAAGGCTGTGGATTTTTCTATTGAAAATATGATCCGGCATTACCACTAGCATATAAAACTCAAATTCTTCCCAGTACAAAACGATGAATATGTAACAACTTTGGAAATTCCACAAAATCTGCAAAGTTGTGGGTTCCCCCCACCGTATACACTGAGTTGCCAGATTATTACGATCTCTGAACAAAAGGCCCCTTGACAGGAGTTCCACCAGCAGGTAGGCTGGCCAACCGCCCATGTCCCCTCCCCCTGACCAGGCTGGCTGGACCCCATCCATGCATGAGTTCATGCACTGGGCCTCTAATAAATAAATAAATATATATATATGGAATGGCCAGATTATTACACATTCAGAGATCATAATAATCTGGCCACTCAGTGTATAGTAAGTAGTAATACAAAGTATTTGTAGAGCCAACTATTTAGATAAGTTTTACATTTCTGATTCCAAATTTCCCATTTTGTGGCCCACAGTTTTCTAATGCCTGCCAAATAATCAGAGTTAGCAAATAATAGAGATTGCTGAGCATAGGTAAAGCAGTCATGTTTCCTTAATAATATTGTAATGAATATTGATACTTTGAAATTCTTTTCTGAACACTAGAGAGCTGGTTATCTTAGTTTTGACAAAATTTGAAAATCAAACCCTGCTTTAAAAATATTCTAATAAAATGTCATGACTTTTTGTCATTTAAGAATTTATTTTTATAGATTTAGTATGAACTCTATGTTGCTATTTTATAGGTTAGTTTTTAAAAAATGCTACCTATATAATGCATTAAGAAAAAAATCTCAGTTCTTTAAAAACTATGTACCACAGTACTTTCGCTGGTACTACCACAAATTAGAAATGGCTCATTATTTTTTAAAAAAATATATTTTATTGATATATTTTAAATATATTTTATTGATTTTTCACAGAGAGGAAGAGAGAGGGACAGAGAGTTAGAAACATCGTTGAGAGAGAATCATCGATCAGCTGCCTCTTGCACACTCCCCACCGGGAATGTGCCCGCAACCAAGGTACATGCCCTTGACCGAAATCGAACCTGGGACCTTTCAGTCCCTAGGCCAACGCTCTATCCACTGAACCAAACTGGTCTCGGCAGAAATGGGTCATTATTATTTTCTTTTGTTAACACAGTGGGGTAGGACAAGAGTGCATTTACAACTGTTTGTATGGAAAATACTAGAAGAATTCATAAATAGTAATACAAGAATAAACTGTGTTTTGCATACTCACATCGGGAAAGCCTCTTTTGCCACACTCTATATACATGTTTTAAATCTCTTCTAATTTCTATCCATTTGTTGTCAGTGCCTAGTTATAACCACATTTTATATGTAAAGTTTATGTTATTACTTACACATTTTGCAAAGCCTTATGGAATATGGGTTGCATTAATCATATGTAAAGTTTATATAGCAGCCCTAAGAAATTCCAAATACTTTGGAAATACTATTTCATCTATGTTCACAGCACTGTGCACTGTTTTCCAGGAGCAGATGGGTCATTGTCACAGCTGAGGGGTGAAATGAGAGACACGTGCAACGATAACCCCAGCACAGGGCCTTGTGCACGGCCAGTGCCCCGTAAGCAGCTGCCGTTATCGATGCCACTGTTACTACTGACTTTTCGGTGGGACCACGGGTGTGACAGCTTTATTACGATGTGTGCTTTTCTTACCCAGTAGATATGAAGGCATCGATGTTTGGTTGTTGGGGTCCTTTTCTCCATAACCATTCCAGTGGTTATCATCAGAATGCTTTTAAATTGCGTGGCTATGACAGTATTATCTTTGCGTGCAAAGTCAGGAAGATGGAATACCAGGTTGTACTTTGAACTTTCCAGAAAGGCACCCAGACACTGTTAGTTAATTCTGCTACAAGAGACTCAATTCTAGATCTTTCATTTTGCAACAACTTGGAAAAATTACCTCTGTGTTTCAAATCTAGGAATGTCTTCCCTTCCTAGGATAGGTTTTTATCCAATCACAGTGATATGGGAGTTTTGAGGTACCAGGAGACAGAGAACAACCAGGAATGTTAGCTTGTTTAACTGTCCTTGATTTATTCATGATGGTGTACACTGCTAACCAGGTATGACCCACAATGCTTCCAGCTCTCCAGCACAGGGGAGTCTTCGCTGGGTTGTCTGAAACACCAGATTGGCACAACTCACTGTTAGGAAGGATAGACTGAGCCGTTTGCCCACAGCTAAGCTCTGTGGGGAGGGCAGAGCCACCCAACAGAGAAGAGATACTGGGATTCCTTTCACAGAGCAAACGTTGTGGACTGGGGCTGACGTCCAGTCACAGCTATTTTTATGTCATTTTATTAAGGAAGAAAGCATAGGTTTCTAGACAGAGACGTCTTAAAAGCATTTTGCAAACATGATGTCTGCTTTCCCTCTGTTGCTTCTGGAAGGAACAGTCACTCTTGCTGTGCCATGCTGAACCTCAATGTACACACCTTATTCATCGCATCAGTAACCTGAGGGGGGAGCATTATCACAGGATATTAAAATGCCCTGGGTGCAAAGGGATTTCCCTAAACCGAGGGGAACCCAAATCTGGAAACAAAACACAGCATTATAGAATCAATTCCTACGCAACATTCAAGTTCATGGGCTTTGCCAGGCAAAGAAAGTAAGTTTCCAGGTTGCCACTGGAAGACATAGGACTGGCTACGACACATTTATAAAGCAGCTACAGGTTTCCAAGTATGAAGCTGGTTACTTCAAGTGCTTTACAACATTTGACCTACTTCCAATTCCAAAAGGGATTTGATGAAACCTACAAAGAGCAGAAATAAGTAAAAAGAAGATCACTGGTTCATCGGGAAGCAAATATACCTAAAAAAATTTTTTTAAAAAAATTTTGATTGAATAAATTATTCTCTGAGCTTCCTGTCAGCCATCAGGGAAAAAGTAATGAACAGTGGTGGGAAGGTTGAGTCTGCAGGCACAAGGAATGGTTTCCAGTTTGGCAACCTGCAGTTCTCACTTACAGCAGGCTGGCAGGTGTCTTTCTTCCTCCATTCTGTTTCCTTACTTTAAAAATGTGTGGGTAATAAGAATCTGGAGAAGGCTGGGAGAATTCAAGGAGAAACTGTATGTGGAGGAAGACGCGAAAGCACAATAAAACTGAAAGTGGTTATAATAAATAGCTTACACGATCCAATAAAAAGAAAACAAAGCATTTTCTGAAATCCGTGTTTGATTATCTTACTACTTAGAGGGTCTGGGACAAGGAGGGCACCTGTTTGCAGAACCAAGGAAAGAAGGGAGAAGGCAGTTCCCAGATATCTTCTCCTGCAGCTCTCCTGAGTAAAAGTTTGACCAAGTTCATTCACTTCTTCAAAAAGACAAAAATGCTCAGATCCCAAGCAGCCAAGAAGGCTGCAGAAGGTCTCATGCAGGCAGACAGTGCCTCTATGACATGAGCTCATGATCACAGCCTAAATAGGCTTTCAATGTGGCCAGCAAACCTGCCACTATTTCAGGACTTCTACCACCCTCCCTCTGCAGAACCTACTTCAAAACTTGCACAATTTCCACCCACTTAATTCTTCCCTCTTCATATCCCAACTCTAGGAGTCTTCCCTGCCTGGTGCCAAGTGAAGTCTCCTTACTGTGCACCACCTATCAGAGCTCCAAACTTACACTTACTTGCATCCTTGTTATCGAATCGTTATCACCATTATTGGTTAATTACATTATTTGAATTCATTGTTAAACTATGAATTTAATCAAAACGATTACTAACTACATTATTATTATTACCCTTATTTGCATCGCTATTATGTGTATATCTTGTAGGCGGCTAGTTCCCTGACTGTAGTCTCCAACACAGCAAGGACCTGTTTCTTGTTTAACCATGTGAATAAAAACATTGCATAACACACAGCCCAGCCAATATTTGTTAAATTAATCAGCATTCCTGATCGCTGGAGAACTCTGCCCAGCGGCGCTGGAGGCCTACAATGGGTAGCGAAGGCCGTCTAAAGCTCCAGTGGAGTTTGCAACTTTTTGTTGCAAAAATTTTTTTTGGCTAAATGTTTTTTTGGAAGGCGACACTAAACGCCCCTTTGGAACAACGAAACCAGACTAGTTCTGAAGCAGCCCTGGAGACACCCACCCACCGACTGCAGCAGACGCCAGCAATAAACCCTGCAAACATCCCGCGCGCAGAGCCCAGCGCAGCGTGCCAGCTGGAGGCTGCCCGGAGACTGCCCCCTTTTCATTTCTCCCGCGCGAAATCCGGCCGGACGGCTCCACTCCCGCCCTGTGCCGCAGGGGGGGAGCCCGGCAGCCCATACCGGTGGCCGCCCCAGGCCGCGCCCATCCGCAGCCCCCTCTCCCGCCGCCAGCGAAGCCAAGTTCCCCGGTCACGGAGTTTGGATCCGGGGCCGGACCTCGCGGCCCTGGGCGGCGGCGCCAACGGGCGGCGCGGCGCGCTCCCCCCGGCCCGGCGCCGAGTGCGCCCTCCCCGGGCGCCGGGGCTGCGGGCGCTGCGCGCGGGCTGCGCGGCCGCGGGCGGGCGGGCGGGCGGGCGGGCGTTCGCCGTGTGCCGGCCGCGGGGGGAGGCGGGCTCCCGGGCAGCGTGCGCGGAGGAAGCCGAAGCCCGGGGGGAAGCATGGAGCTGGCGGCTCGCGCTCAGGTAAGGGTCCGCCGCCGGCCGCAGCCCCAGCGCCCCGCGGCCCGCCTTCCCGGAGCGCGCGGCCCCCCTCGCCGCCTGCGGTTGGGAACGTGGCCCCGGCCGCGGAGTGGAGGACCGGGCGCGCCCCCGGCCCCGCGGGCCCCGGAGGGGGCGTGCCTCCCCGTGTGCGCCGGGCGGGAGGGGCCGGGGTCTCCGCGCTCGGGCCGGGACCCCCGTGCCGGGTGGGTGCCCCGGGGCGCAGGCCCGCCGCTGCGAGCCCCGGGACTGAGGGCGTTTGCAGGGGAGGCTGCGGGGGCGCCGCGCTCCGCGTTGGCTGCGCTCATGGAACCCGGGCTGGGAGCGGGGAGCTTTTCTGGGGCGCGCGCCCCCCACTTTCTCTCGGCTTTGGCACAGGCAGAAGGAAGTTTGAGAAAAGCGTAATTTTTCTGAAACACACACACACACACACACACACACACACACACACACACCAAAAACAAAACAAAAAACCAAAAACACAACAAAAACCAAAAAAAGTTGAGGGTCAGGCCAGTTTCACTTGGATAAATGGTGTTTAAAAGGAATGGCTCTTATGTTTGTTCTAGAACTTGCGGAAATGTTTTTAAGGAATTTGTAAACACTTGGGGGAGGCCTGGGGGTGGGGATGACAGTGTCCTTAGGCCAAATTAAAAAAAAAGCCCCCAAGACAAGATCCCAAACCGTTTACGCAGCTCGACCCCAATTAACGCGTCGGGGTCTTGAGTAGCTTTTACAAATTTCAACCTGCACCTGAGAGTAAGTCACCCTAATGTGTCAATGGGCGCTGGGGACCAGGCTTCCGTGTTCCTTCTTACTTTTAGAAAGAGCCTTTCTCTACTTTCTAGTAGTGAATGTGTTTTTCTCCCCCAGAGGTAAGCAATAAACACTTTTGCTTTTCAAGTGAACTAAAAATAAAACTTTTTAGAAATGTAAGGAAGCAGCTTGCAAGAGCCCAGGATACTTTGTATGAAGCGTTGGGGTTTTTTTCTTTTGTGAGCGCCTCTGACTCACTGCTCCCACACCTTACAGCCTGGGACTGGGGTTTCCCTCCTTCCACCTGCGCGCAGGGCGGGCCCGGGGCCGCGCCAGGCGGCGGGGTGGCCCTGGTGCCGGAGCCCACGCCCCTGTCACCTGCCCAATCCTATGGCACATGCAAGGCAGAGCCCATGATGGGCAGTTGGGCTGTGTGGTTCGTACCTTCTGAAAGGCTTTCCAAAAGTGAACGCTTGAGAGAGATCTGTTGTGGATGTTGATAAGAAAGAGGAATCGTTTAACATTTCTCCAGTGAGGGAGATAGGAAAAGCAAGGAAAACAGTAACTCGAGATTAAGAAGGACTGAATCAGAGTTAGATTAAAAAAAAATTTTTTTTTTGCCGTTGCACTTTACCATCTAATTAATATCCTGTGCTTCTGAGAAGCCCAGGTGTCTCCAAGATTGTCACCAGTAACTGTATCTTGATAATGTATCACTCCTGCCTGAGTGCTCCCACCACTTACGTACAATAGCTCATGCTTAGGAAGTTCAGGATGTCCCAACTTGTCTATAGGAAGGGGACATTTTCCTGTTATGAGGCTAAATTGTGGTAGTTCTGAAATGTTAAAGCTATTTACCACGTGGGGGTAATCCGCCAAATGCTCTTTCCGATACCTTATGCGTCTATTAGGGCAAATTACTAAGCGTAAGGTGATCAGATGTTTTGTGTTTTTTTTCTTGATTAATGATCTCCTACCTGGCAGTACATGTTAAGGTGTGTGTGGTGATATTTTTTTTCCAGTGGAAGTGTTCCTGTTCATAATTTAAATACGGGCAGATTAGAGTCTCCCTAATTTAAATGAGAGGAGAGTGGTTCTGCGGGTTATAAAAGACCCACTGCGGATAAGAGCGCTGATGAGCATTTAGCGCTGATGAGCATTTCAGGAGCAGCGGGATGGCCAAGCCTCGTGGTTGCCCCCTGTGCCTGGCCCTATAAGTAAAGCAGTGTGGCGCACTGCCTGAAGCGTGTTGCTGAGCCGAATCTCAGCTCAGTGTGTAGTGGTTTAATCTAACACAAACAGGAAATAAGATCTCCATCCCCTGGAAAGCTCAGAGGTGGACGGGGTTCAGCAAGGCAGCCGAGGCCTTGTGCTCTGTAGAGGGAGGAGAGGAGAAGAGACTCATTTAAACCCTGAATTCCTCTCTAGACTCTGTTTTAGGAACTATGTTTTATTGATGCTAGAGAGAGAGAGAGGAAGGGAGAGCGATAGAGGGAGAAAAATATCAACGAGAGAGTAACATCATCATTGGCTGCATCCTGCACGCCCCCTACTGGGGATGAAGCCCAGAACCTGGGCTTGTGTCCTGACCACGAGACCAGCCAGTGACCTCTTGGTTCCTGGGTAGATACTCAAAAAACGCTGAACCACAATGGCTTTTTTCCTTCTTTTTTCTTTTGAAACCTCACCAGCGTGTTGGAGTTGATGTTCTCTGACAGTGATCACACCTCCCGTGGGCTGTAGTCCTTGTTGGGCTGATCACTGTGTCTGTGGGTTCATGTTGAATGACAGGAATATTATAATACCCCGGAGGTGGTCCTGTGCTGAGAGCGCTCGGCTGGGGATGAGCCGGCCTCAGCTTGGTGGCAGAGAGCCGGGGAGGTCCTGAGTGTCCGTGCCATCTTCTAACTCTCTTCTAGCTTCAGGGTGCAGTTGGGTCCCTTAGCGAAGGAAATGATGCTAAATGTTCTCATGAATGTGCATGAGTATTCTCGACCCACAGGTTGAGAACCACTGCTGTAGAGCCCAAGACCATCGGAAAACACAGATATTTACGTTACGATTCATTAACAGAAGCAACATTACAGTTATGAAGTAGCAACGAAAATAATGTTATGGTTGGGGGTCAGCACAACATGAGGAATTGTATTAAAGGGTCACGGCATTAGAAAGGTTGAGAACCACTGCCCCGGCAGGTCACAGAGGCGGGAGGGGGGTGTCATCTTGGAAGGACAGCGCAGTGATTTGCCACTTTTATAGTTCCGTATTTAAAAGGCCACTGGTGGTGGTTTTGATGAACTGACTCATCAATTTAAGAGCTGAATTTTTAGTGATCGGGAGAAACCTCAGAGAACAGCAGGTATACAGGACAGAGAGCCATGACACATAATTAGATGACTTTAAGACATGTATTAATCTTACACTAAGTTAGTGAAAAGATTGACAGAGCCACTTGAATAGAATAGTCCGGGCGCGTTCATTTTAAACTGCTGTGGAGAGCTCTTGACCCATCCACAAACTGAGCTACAGTTTAGAATGCTTACCTTCAAGATGCAGTTTTGTAAAGACCCATTCTAGCTTCATTGACCAAAGTGGAATTGCTTTAGGCTACTTAGGGGATGGGTGGAGATAAGAAAATAACAGCGGGCCCTTTTCCTCCCTTTCTGTTTATGAAAAGCAATAGTTTCTGCGTGTTCTAACATAATACCATGCAGAAGCATATTTGGTAAATAGAGCTGAGTTAACACACAGGAAAATTTGTCTTGCATAGTAAAAATCAGTGCCCTCCCTGCACTGCAAAAACACGTCCTGGAGGTGGAGTTTGAGTTCAAATCGATGATGTTTTCTGTCTGTTTTTTTTTGTTGTTGTTGTTCTTCCCCCTCCCCCATCACCAGCTGGTGACTGAGGGCTCCCACCTGGTTAGTCTATTATCAGGTGTTCTTGAAGCACCAGCTGAGTGCTAGGTGTTGTGAGTTACGCTGGAAGACAGGAAGACTCCTGCCTTTTCTGCCTTTGCCAGGGCCCCGCTGGCTTCTGCTCTGTGCTGTGGGGACCTCGGTGGCCCTTGGTTTGGGGAGTGGGAGGTGTTAAGGGCCATCCTTTCGCACAGCCGGGCGTGGCTCAGGGGTGGAGCACGGACCAACGGGACCAGGAGGTCACAGTTTGATTCCCTGTCGGGCACCTGCCCGAGTTGCAGTCCCGATCCCCAGTATATGGGGCGTACAGGAGGCAGCCAACCAATGATTCTCTCTCATTATTGGTGTTTCTCTCTCTCCCTCTCCCTTCCTCTCTGAAATCAATAAAAATATACATATATAAATATTTTTTTTTTTAAAAAGACCCATTCTTCCCAACCCTCTCCTCTGCCCCCACCCTAGGAAAGGATCACTTCCTTTTAAAAGTCAGGCTGTGCTAGGTCCTTACAGTTATCAGGATTAATCCTCACTGTAACTCTGAAGTGGGTAGCACTATCTGCATTGTAAAGATAAGGTGAAATTGAGCAATTGGCTCCAGGCAACCAGCCGGGAAGGAGCGGGTGCAGTTCCCAGGGCCTTTGCCTGGCCCTTACCATTGGAATCACAGACGTGGCCAGATCGCTGGATTTTCACGGAAATAATTTTATGAGACTAGAGGTCTTTGTCCAGCCTAGTGCCGCTGAGGTGACCAGGGGCATGCCAAAAAGAAGGTGCTGTTTCATTATGAAGGGCGTCAGCGCTTCTGTTTTTTCTCACGATTACCTTCCGTCTTCCTTCCAATGGAGAGGGCTGGGGTCTCCACGGGAGGAGCTGGTCTTAGGCTCTGCACAGGCTCCCTTGGGTGATGTCTGCACATGTCAGCTTCAGAGTAGGAGTAAGGCCCACCAGGCTTTTACATGACAGTGATTGTCACGTGATTTCTATATTGTGTAAGAAATGGCATGTTAAGCCCTAGCCAGTTTGGCTCGGTGGATAGAGCTTTGACCTGTGGACTGAAAGGTCCCAGGTTCAATTTCGGTCAAGCACAGGTACCTTGGTTTTGGGCACATCCCCAGTGGGGAGTGTGCAGTAGGCAGCTGACCGAGGTTTCTAACCCCTCTCCCTCTCCCATTCCTCTCTGTAAAGAAAAAAAAATCCATAAAAAATACATATTTTAAAAAAGTCATGTTAAGAGAAGACGAAATGAAAATAAACATTGAGCTGTTGCTCTACCTACCCACTGTCTGGGTGTCATTTTCTAATTATCTTCCCACCCGGTGGCTTTGTTCCGGCACCGTTTTTGCATAGTTGTTTATCGTATGACTGCTGTTTGAATTCTTTCGTTAGCGCCTTCAATACTGTTTTTCTCTTGGAGGTCTGGATAGCTTTCATGTTTAATGACTGCAGTATTTCATTGAGTAGATGTGTGTTCATGTTTAGTTTTCTGTTGATGGAACACTTTTTTTTTTATTATTACTAAAGGAATTTTACAGTAAGTATCTTGGGGTATATGCACTTAGTAGTACCTACCTTATTCCTTGTATTGTAGTCCACACTGTTTTAATTATTGTTCTTTGTCGTGTGCTTACTATCTCATAAAAGGAAAGGGGCCTGATTTTCGATGGTGGGGACCTCTGACACATTGGTGGTTGTTTTTCTTTTTTTTCTTTAAATATATATATATATATTTATTGATTTTTTCATAGAGAGGAAGGAAGAGGGATAGTTAGAAACATCAATGAGAGAGAAACACCAATCAGCTGCCTCCTGCACACCCCCCACTGGGGATATGCCTGCAACCAAGGTACATGCCCCTGACCGGAATCGAACCTGGGACGCCTGACATTGTTTTTTTTAAAGGCATTTTCCTTTGGTTGTGTTGTATCAGCTGAGAGAAAGCAGTTTTTGCCCAGGTTGGAACTTGAGCTCATGATCACTGGGCCTAAACAGTGGCTTTTTCTTCCTGAACTTAGAATACCTGTTGGAACGTGCCTCTTTGGGGGAAGGGGACAGCGGTAGAGGTATGTTCTTTACCACCTTCAGGTCTGCCTGGAACTCCGCTCCCACCCCCCACCCCCCGAAAAGATCCATGAATGCTAATGCCTCCTGTGGACAGGACCCGCCTGGGATCTGGGCGGTTGGTTGCGGCAGTGGGAGGCGGGGACCCTGTGCCCAGCTGCCCTCCTGGGGCAGTGAGTCCCTGTGTTAAAGGAGGTGCCTGCTTTGGTCTTGCTTATTTGAACTAGGAGTCATCTCCCAGGTAGCTAGCATTCCTGAAGACGGGACGTCTGAAGTGAAGCAGTAGGCTTACCAATAGGAAGTGCTGGTTGCGATGGGTGGGCACAGTTTGAAACACATCACCAGACGTGCACTCTTTCTGGTCGCGTGTTGCCCTGGAAACATTTACAGAAGAGCGTTTCACAGCCCTGGGTGCGAGCTCTGAGCCTGAGCCTGAGCCTGAGCCTGAGCCGTAGGACAGCCCGGTGGGAGGCGAGGGCCGGTGTGTGTCTTGCGTCCCAGGTGTCTTGCGTCCTGCCAGTTGTGCCAAAATCCTCGGGACTGGGCGTGGTCGGGAGCCCTCTCCACAGACCCCTTTGCTGCTCCCCCGGACCTGCCGTGCAGCAGCACAGTGGTCTGGGCAGCCCCCACCCGTAAGCCCCTTCAGGGGAGTCCTGTGTCCTTGGGGAGGGCCGTGCGTGTGTGAGCGAGCTCTGGCACTTGGTCTTCTGTCCCAGGGCCCAGCCCTCCCCAGCGCCCCCCTGCCCTCCCCGTGGCGGCTGCTGTCAGGCCTCTGCTGTTACGATGGACGGCCCACGGTTTACCGCAGGGCCGTGGTCGGCGAGCCACACGCGGCTCTTTGGCCCCTTGAGTGTGGCTCTTCCACAAAATACCACAGCCTGGGCGAGTCTATTCTGAAGAAGCGGCGTTAGAAGAAGTTTAAGTTTAAAAAAATTGGCTCTCAAAAAAGAAATTTCAGTCGCTGTCCTGTGGATAGTTGGCTCTGCCGACTAATGAGGGTGCCGACCACTGCCCCAGATGAATGGCCAGGGCCCAAATGACAATACCCAGCTGTGTGAGGGGCCTGGCACCCAGGCGGTAGGGGTTAGGTGCCTGTTGACTATCTTACTAGGATGGCGTGGGGCTGTCAGTGTGTAGTGAGTGGAAGCTTGAGTCACGGCAGCAGGGACATCCTGGAGCGGGCTGGCCTTCTCCAGTGTTTCTGTTGCAGGAACGGACCAGTTCCTGCCTGCCCCAGAGGCCTGGGCGGCTTTTCTCATCAATCTCCAGCTTCATCTTTGAAAGTCATGCCTGATGGCTTCTTGGCCTTCTGGCTGCGATCAAGGGTAGTCTCTGTTCTTAGCAGTTTAAAAGTCAGGCCTGTATTGCATTTTTCTCCCATGAAACATTTTAATGGACTTTAATACAGATGTGCTATTTTAAATGACTCTGCCAGGAACACATCCCCTGCCCTGTCCCGCCTGGGGTTTGCAGGGAAGCCCTCTCGCTGTCCCTGAGCCTCCCTCCCCCCCCCCCCCCAAGTTTGGGGAGCATGGAACAGCCGAGCATAAAACTTAGAAATCACACCTGTAATAAACCCTGAAATAGAAGAGCCAGTCCCCCTCCTTCCCACCCCCACCCCCACCCCCAATATCTTTTTACTTAAAGCTCCAGGACCCTGAGGCCTTCGTTGATACTGAAATCCCTGGGGACATTTTAAGTGCAAACTGTCTAGTAGTACCTTCATTTTGTTCTCCATTAGCCTGGCCTTAAAATGGAAGTGAAGGGGAAAAAAACCACAAAAGTGCATTTCAACGTCATGGTTTGTGTTGAATCCTCTCTCTCTCCTCCTCTGACAACCGGTTCCAGGCATTGAACTTGGGGAGGTTTTTACATCAAAGTCGTTGAAGCCAGTGGGACTTCACGTAGCCTTTCCCGGCCAGGTCCTCCGTCATAGACTCCCCTGACCTGGCTTAAAACAACATCAAACTTCCTTTTGTGTCCCCACACCCCCGGCTTTAAGAACTCCCCGAAAAGAGCATCTGGCTGTGTGCGTGACCTCCATCGCGCCGCGGAGTGCGTCCTCCGCCCTGGCTGCAGTTAGGAACGCAGAAGCACGCACTCGTAGGGAGTGGGCACCTTCACTTGGGCACGATGCCCGGAGCCATGTGGTGTGTGCAGCCTACACGGCCCACGCCTGGGGATTGTTCTGCCCGGTTTCCACTAGCAGGGCACAAGTGTGTCAAGAGCCTCCCTGTCTAAAGGAGCTGGGTGCTCCCCGCTCATCCCTGTGCAGATCTGCTCAGCGCCTGTCTGCACTGAGTACGGGGACCCTCTCCTCTGGAAGATGGGGCCTCACAGTCCCCCAGCCTTTAAAACATGATTTTTCAATGACAGTGGGTATACAATATTACGTTAGTTTCAGGTGTACATCATAGTGATTAGACATTTCTGTACCTTACTAAGTGACTCCCTCCCTCGTAAGCCTAGTACCCATTTAGCACCACACTGAGTTACTGTAATACTAGAGGCCCAGTTCATGAAATTCATGCTAGGAGTATGTGTGTGTGTGGGGGGGAAGTCCTTCAGCCCTGCCTGTACCCTCTCCAATCTGGGACCCTTCGGGGGGATGTCTGACTGCCAGTTGCAGGATCCGGCCTAAATGGGCAGTTGGACATCCCTCTTGCAATCTGGGACCACTGGCTCCTAACCACTCACCTGCCTGCCTGTCTGCCTGATTGCCCCTAACCACTCTCCCCTGCTGGCCTGATCACCCCTAACCTCCTCTGCTTCAGCCCCTTCCACCATGGCTTTGTCCAGCAGGAGAACTGGACTATGTCCAGTTGACCCTGTCTAATTAGCATATTACCCTTTTATTAGTATAGATTATGGATTATTCTCCGTATGCTGCGCTGTACATGCCTGTGACTATTTCTTCCATCTGTGAATCTATTGTGCGTCCTCCCCCCCGGCTCTGCCCTGAGCTGTGTAGATGTGGCTGACCGTGCTGCCCCTAGAAGTCTTCCTGACCATCCGCCTCACAGCTGGGTCAGGTGCCCTTCTGGACTTTTCCCGCTCACATTGATCACACCACAGTGAAACTGTTTAACGATCATCTGGCTCCCCCTACCCCCTATGACTCGTTCCTCGTCGGATCCCTTAGCGAGGTGCCCAGCACAGACTGGTACTGTGACAGTCCTTTCGATACGTTTTCGTGACAGCCGCGGACATAGCGGCTTCTGCCTCACAGAATGCTGTGTAGTTTGGAAGCCATCAGAGCTTTATGCCAACGTTCTCATGCCTTTCCTCCCGGGTATAAGGGAGGAATGCCTTTTCCTGGGCCTTGAAACAGTCAAGGCTATTTGATACTCAGCCTCTTAGAATCCAGAGAAATCTCACGCTGGCTTCACTTTTCCCGTCCGCTGCCCTTTCTGGAAGAGGGAATTACCCAGCACGTCCCAAACGTTTGGGCTCCATTCCCTCAGGGCCTCTGGCTCCTCGGCTGCTCCTTCAGGTGGCCCTGCACGCTCAGACACGCGTGTGTCTTTCTCCCCACGTTTGTTTGTTTGTTTGTTTGTTTGTTTATTTATTTATTTATTTATTTATTTTACTTTGGTAAAATGTGCATGACAAAGAATTTACCAGGTTAACTCTATTGAGGTGGACAATTTAGTGGCATGAAGTAGAGTCATGTTGTTGTGGAACCATTACCACCGTCTACCTCTAGAACTTTCCTAAATTGAAACTCTGTGCCCGTTAAACACTTAACTCCCTGTTCCTCTCCTCTCCTCCCAGCCCCTGATCATCACCGCTCCGCTTTCTATCTGGGTGAGTCTGTGCTGGGCACCATTCTAGGCACCGTCTGTAAGCTGTACCTGAATCCTATCATATCGGAATCCTACACTATTTGTCCTTTTGTGCCTGACTTACTCCACTTAGCATAATGTTGTCAGGGTTCATTTGTGTTGTAACCAACCAGAGTTTCATTCTCTTTTTTAAAGCTGAGTAATCATCTGTTGTATGAATGCATGCATACATATCACATTTTGTTTCTTCATTCATCATCCATGGACATTTGGGCTGTTTTCACCTTTTGGTTACTGTGAAAAATGCTGCTGTAGACATTGGTATAAAATATCTGTTTGGACCCCTGCTTTCAAAATACTTTTGGACATAAGAGTTAAAAGTGGAGTTACTGGATTACGTGGTAATTCTATGCTTAATTTTTTTGTTCGGCAGTGCCCACCAATAGTTCACAAAGATTCTGATTTCTCCGCATCCTCACCAATGCTCATTTTCTGTTTTGTTGAGAATAGCCATCCTAATGAGTGTGGTGTCTCATTGTGGTTTTGATCTGTATTTCCCTAATAATGAGTGAGGTTGAACATGTTTGCATGTGCTGATTGGCTCTCTGTATAACATTGGAGAAATGTCTTAAGTCCTTTGCTCATTTTTCAATTGGTATTGTTTTGAGCTGTAGGAGTTTTTTTTTTTTTTTATATATATATTCTGGTTATTAATCCCTTATCAGATGCATGAATTGCAGGTTTTTTTCTCACATTCTCTAAGAAATTGTTGCAAAATTCAATGTCATGACAATTTCCTTCTATATTTTCTTCTAAGAGTTTTATGTCTTTAGTTCTTACATTTAGGTCTTTGACACATTTTGAGTATTTTTTTTTTTTTTTTTTTTTTAATAGATGGTGTTGAGTAAGGACCCACCTTGATCCTTTTTACACGTGGAGACAGTTTCTTCCGCATCGTTTGTTAAAAAGACTGTCCTTTCCTTATTGAGTAGTTTGGCACCCTTGTCAAAATCATTTGACCATCTGTACGAGGGTTTATTTCTGGGCACTCTGTTCCATTGCATTGGTATAGGTCAGCGGGCGCCAACCTTTCACCAACCTTTCGGACCTCCGGTTGGTTACCACTGGTCTAGATGTTCGTGGTTAGGACCATGCTGTTTGGATTACTGTAGCATTGTAGTAAGTATAGAAGTTAGTAAATGCGAGTCCTCCAACACGGCTCATCTTTTTCAAGACTGTTTTTGGTTCTTCAGAGACCTCTGAGCTTCCACAAGAATATTAGGAAGGGCTGTTCTATTTCTGGGGGGGAAAATGTTGCTTGGATTTACAGGGATTGATTGCTTTGGGCATAGTGCCCTATTAACAATATTAAGTCTTCCAGTCCATGACTAGGTGATACCTTTTTTATTATAGTTGATTCTTGAACAATCCTGGTTTGAACTGTGTGAGTCCACTTATATGCAATTTTCAGTTGATCCGCACAGTTTAAACCTGTGGTGTTCAACAGTCTACCATCATTTTTGGCTTTGGTGTGAGGATAATACTGGCCTCACAGAATGAGTTAAGGAATATTCTCTCCTCTAACTGCCTCTGCCTGCCGACCTGATTGCCCCTAACTGCCTCTGCCTTGGCCCCTGTCACCGTGGCTTTGTCTGGAAGGATGTCCAGATTTCTGGAACACATCTGGTCTAATTAGCATATTACCCTTTTATTAGTATAGATAAGCAAATTTGAATAGTGGGATAAATAAAACTTTCAGTTATTATAATAAGTTTAAATTTTTACAAATATTTAGTTAAATTCATAAAACTCCAGGTTAACTTTAAAAAAAAATTTTCAGAGAGGAAGGGGGGGAGAGAGAGAGAGAGAGAGAGAGATATATATCAAGGATGAGAGAGAATCATTGATTGGCTGCCTCCTGCTTGCTCCCCACTGGGGATTGAGTCCCCAACCCGGGCATGTCCCCCAACTGTAAGACTCAAACTGTGAGACCTCCTGGTTCATAAGTTTATACACTCAACCACTGAGCAACACCAGCTGGGCTCAAGTTAACCATTTTAAAGTGAAAAATTCAGTGGCATTTAGTACATTCATGTTGTACTAGTCTAAAACATTTCATTACTGTGGAGGAGAGATTGTTCCTCAGTCTCTTGTCTGTCTTAGGAGCTGGCCCTAGGCAGAAATGGAGGTTGCTTTCCCCAAACTCCCCTTAGAGACTGTGTGAATATAATTGCTTCCATAAATCACCACCTCTCCCTTGCCTCCTGGTTTGCGCTGCTTCCCGGAATAGGCCGCTGTCCTATCCTGGTCAAGCGTGTCGAGTCATTTCCCGCACCTGGTAGCATTCATGTTAGTACCTGTGACTATGCCACCGCCTCACCCCCTTCCCTGGCCCCCACATAATTCTTTGGTGCCTGCCAAGCTGGAGGGAGATAGGCTTGGTCTTGCAGCTGCCTCCTATGTACGTTTCCTTCCTAAAACCTGCTAAGGACCAGACTGGAATAGCCAGCCTTTTTTCTTCTGTCTTTCCTGCCTTCACCTACGGCAGTAGATTTTCAGGAGGTAAATTCTTAGTTCCCGGGCTTTTCCCTGGGTCAGTGTGTACTAACAATTGCCTTGAAAGGAAACCCTGTGTCTATTGAGCAGTTGCCCTTTGTTTTTCTTCCTCCAATCCCTGGCACCCACTGGTCTGCATTGG